GGGACACAAGACAGATAAGTCTTTATAAGAGAGGAATGGTAGAAGGAAAATGACTTGGTAAAGACTCTAAGCATGGGATACTATCAGCAAAGGAATGAGCACCAAGGTAGGGGGCTAGAGAAGTGTCCTGGGAGACTGTGGATCAGAATGCTGGAAGGTAAAATGAACAGTCATGTACTGTGAATGCTCAAAGGACATCAGTGAGCGTCTGTGCTCCCCAGCCTTCTTTTCAATATCAGAATGTTCCATGAATGACTACCAACACACACAATACACACCCACACCCAAACCCACACAGTGACATTTGATATCTATTGTACATTTAGTACCTGTTGCTTTTTCTTTTCACACATACTAGGAATTCAGAAACACTTTATTTTTATTTTTTCATTTTTTTAAATCCTCACTGAGGATATGGGTTTTTTTAATTGACTTTAGAGAGAGAGAGAAAAACATTGATGTGAGAGAGAAACATCCATCAGTTGCCTCCTGTACGCGCTCCAACCAGGGGCTGGAACCCATGACCTAGTATGTGCCCTGACCGGGAATCAAACACTCAACCCTTTTGGTGTATGGGATGACTCCCAACCAACTGAGCTAGGGCCAGAAACTCTTTAAGACAAATATATATTTCTTGAATTTACTGAACCTATGAATAGTTGAAGAACAATAATATATGTATCTAAAACACTGTCATTTTGTTTTAACAAGTAAAGATATGACTACACATCCTTTAGAGACACCAGCATGCACGGTGGTGAAATTCACAGCTCCCCGTTAGCGTGTAGTACAAGTAATGTTGCCAGACTCAAGGTGTTTGCCACTTTGGGTGTTCTATTTAAGAATGAGATGTGGTTGTCCTTAGGTAGTTTTATTTACATGCAGCAAGGAGTCAGGGGATTTACATCCAAAGCTCTTTCTTTCTGAAGGGAGGCTTAGCCATTGACTAAATATATAATATATGCTATTTAGTCAATTATATTTTGATTCCTTCTTTGCAATTGGCTATACTTACCTGGTTGTGTTCCAGTCAAGCTCATCCAGTTACAGCTGCATCTGCAAACTATTGTACTGTGTTTTAACATTTAGCATGAATAGCATTTAGTAAGAAACAACCAGGCCTTGAGATCTTTGTCCTAATAATTATACCCATCTTAAGTAGTGACCTTCATGTGTAGACTAATCTTTACACTTTTCAGTGACAGTGTGCCCTGGTTCCCTCTTTCACAGTCATCTTAAAGCCATCCCCTGCTTATGTGGGGGGAAAGTGGCCTTTAGTAGCTCCCTATTGTCTATCTGTATAATTAAGCCCAAACTTTTTTAGCGTGGACTAAAACTTTCTCCTGACTTCCCCCAAATATCTCAGCCACACTTACCCCCACCCTCACCCCACCCTTTGAGCAATTTAAGCATTTCAGAGCTCCCCCTGTCTTTTGCACCTTCCACCCACCTCTCCATCAGAACCCTCCCTACCCTTTGCACAGGCTGGCTGCTTCCCTTGTGTTCCTTCAGCTTGAGGTGGGCTTTAGGATTACTGATCTCCACATCTGTGCCCCCACAGTACTCAGCCCTCCTGTAAGGCTGGGCCATGTCTTACTTATCTTGTACTCTTCTACTTAACAGCGCTTACAGCATAATAGGTGCTTGGTAAGAAGTTATTAGGCAAATAAATGGATAAACAAAAGATAGAAAATAAGGGTAGAAAAGTATCCCAAGAGAGTCGAATCATAGGCCAACAAATCCCAGGTAGAATTAATAACACAATGGCACTTGATTGATAAAACTGAGTCGCGTAGTTAAACCGTCCTTTGAAAATAAAAAACCTTACACAGAAAACTAGAAGAATGTAAAGCAGTTGAGATGGATTGTGTTGTCTGAAATTAGGAAGAGGGTGTTCAGGTTGCTTTCAACTCTCAGACTTGTTTTATTTTCTAAACTGGCAACCACGAGACAGCCCAGTCTCTGGCACCTAACTGGCCTGGGTCTGACACTCCCAGAAGTTCCCTCCAGGGCCATGGGCGTCCTGGGCTTTGGGAGGCTCCTAGTAGCTCCCCAGGGCCCAGGCTACCGGCCAGCGCAGCTTGGAGCCACCTCTGGGGTCTGGGGGGCGGGGGGCGGGGTCAGGGGTTCTCCAGTTTTCTCTCAATATTTAATGGGTCGTTCCCTTTGCTTCTGTTTCTGACTTGATTAAAGAGGAGAAAAGGGAGCTGGACTACAAGAATAGTAGCAGACGGCGCATCTGGCTTGAATTTTGAAATTGCATCCAAGTTTTTGCTGCTGTTCTTGTTTTTGTTTGCTTGTTTTGGTTTGGTTTTGCTTATTTGTTTGTTTTCATTTTACAGCGATCCCGAGAACTCCTCCTTGGGGGAAATGGCGCATCCAAAGCCCGCCAAGCCCAGCCTGAGCGCTCCAGGATTTATCAGAGTAGCCGTGGAGCCAAAACCTCCACAGACATAAACTCAAAGGAAGCCGTGCGCTCCTTAAGTCAAAGGCATCTGTTCCGATCGCCTCGCTCGGTTTGCCGTTTGTAACCAGCGTTAAGAGCAGGATTTTAAAACATGAAAATGGATAAAAGAAAAGCTAAGTCCCGCGGTCCGCCGACTCCTATTCATTATCTCCAGCAGCATATGGGACCATTCTCCTACTTGTCCTCTCCCTTTCTTTCTCAAAAGTAAAAGCAACCAAGCTTGTCCCGCTTCACAGCAAACCCACTCTTTGTGCCCGAGCCGTGCCTCCGCCGCTACTACTTCCTCCGCCTCCCGCCTCCTCCCCTCCCGCGCGCCGCGGACTCGCGCTCAGGGAAGACGGCGGCGGGCGCCCTTTGCGCCGGGAAGCCAGAGCCGCGATTGGGCGACGGTCCCTGAGCCTTCGCGCTCCGCGTCGGTTTCAAGGCTCCTCCCTCCTGGTGAAAGACAGACTGCGGGGCGCCTGGAAACCGGTCGGAGGGCGCGCGAGGGAGAGGAGAGCTAGCGAGTTGAGGGATTGACACAAATGGTCAGGCGGCGGCGGCGGAGA